CTGAAATATATCGTAGCCAGAGCTTTTGGTAAGAGCGCTACAAAGATCCCTTATTTAATTCTCACAACTCTGAAAGGTAAGAGCCATCCCCATTTTGTAGATGAAGAAGCAGCTTTAAGAGCCCGTATTGCACGCCCAAAGGGATACAACAGTGAGTGGAAGAGGTATCCGATGGCTGGGACTCGCCACTGAGGGCCCCAAATGTTCCTAACTCCACCTGGTGTCAGGACACAGGGTTAGGACTGCTGGCCCCATCAATGTTAAGAGGCGGTGTGAGATAGCACCACAGGGGAATTATTACATAACCCCCTGCTAAGTACATCCAATGGGAGCAACATGGAATGTAGGAGCTCAGGCACATCTGTGGAGGACCAGGTCAAGGAGGAGCCGCCCACAGAGGGGGTGTGGTAGACCCTCCCAAGCCTTTCTCTCTTCCTTTGCAAACCCTTCCCACTCACTCCTCGGATACCTGGAGGCTTTAGATTCTGAGATTTCCAGTGTTCTGAAGATAGCACCATGCCCTTGGGCAATTACAGCAACCTGCGGCCCAGCCCCACAGGGTGTGGCTCAGCAGGGATCCTGTGGAACCTCACCACCAGAGCCCCAGGCTCCTACAGAGACCCCAGAGGCCAAACATCTTGGGGAGCTGTGCCTCCCCTACGCAATCCTGGTGGGCCACAGGCCAGGGCCTCACCTCTGGGCCCCTTCCCCTGGTTCACCAGATATGCCATTCATTTGAGAAGCCCCGCCCATGGGCCACTTTGGAAACTTCTTGTCAAATGAGACCACAGGGCTGAAGAGTACTACTTGGCAGCCCATGCAAAATGTGCTTCTTCCGGGCCTGCATAATAATCAGTTCAGTAGGAAACCTCTCTGGGGCCAGCCCCATGCTAGGTGTAGGAGACACAACATGACAACTGCAGAAGTTAATCACCCACTAAGCAGTTACTAGGGGTCAAGCTCTGGTCTATGCACTTGACACAGATTAACTCATTTAATCCCCACAGGAACCCCATTCCATTATAGATAGGGACTTGTACTGTCACCCGCGTTTTGTAGAGGAAGAAACAGACATTAAAAAGGTGACATTGTTCACCAAAGCTCACAAAAGTAGACACGGTGTTCAAACCCAGGCAACCTGGCCCCAGAGCTGTGCCCACAGCCTGTCTGGGGAGCCACCGCTCTCATCACCACTGTTCCATGAGCAGCTCTGCTACAGGATAAAGCAGGAGACCGGGAGACGGACACAGACCAAAGATGTCTGCAGGGCTCTGGCCGCAGAACAAAGGGGCAACTGAGCTTGGTATGAGAAGCAAGGAGGCAGCAGCGGAGGGGCCGGCCAGCTGGCACCTGCAGGCAGCCCTGGAAGCCCTCTCCCGAGCTCTTTTCCCAGACGCAAACGCCACTCCAGCCGGCACGCAGTCAGCCGCTGCTCCCCCAGTGCCTGCCCGTACTCCTGGTCCACACACATGTCCTTACCAACCTCGCCTTAGGAATGAGCACACTCTCCTATAAAATTGCAAGACAATTCTGTTATGAAAATATGATCCATTAATTATCTGGCACCTCCCCTGCTGGCAATTTCCTTCCTAACCTATACCTCTCAAAGCAAGGAGGGTCTGGTCAGAACCCCTGGGACAACTCACCATCAGTGCAGATGCCCAGGGCTCACTCCAAACCACAGGGCCCAAAGCCCTGAACATGAAGCCAGAGGACCCGTACTTTGGAGATCTTCCCCTAGTGACACCTGTGCACACCGAGATCTGAGAGGCATCATGATCTAGCTAGTTCTTGGAAAACCTAGCCACCGCAACGCTGTGATAATGGATTCCGCTGTAAGCACTGGAGAAATCTCTCCTGTTCTTTGTAATGCGCCTTCTCTCAGGCAACCCTCTTTGTCATCACAGCTGAAATAGTTGTCATTAGCAGGAGAATCATTATCTCAGCCTGGCTTTTAAACACTTGAGATCCGCCTCAGTTTCCGAAAGTTTCTCCACTCCTGTGTGTCCAAAACCTGAACCCTGTATCACAAACGCTGTTCAGGGGCACCTGGGATGAATTTTTTTTGTTTTTAAGAGCCCTGGGAACAAAGAAAAATCAGATCTAATATTCAAACCTGTGGTATTATCAAGAGTAGAGCTTAATAAAGGATTAAGTGGAAAATAAGAATCAATTTTTTTTTTTTAAATATCAAGTAAACAGCACAGACCATCCTTAGAAAAAAAGTCTTCAATCTGGGAAACCTCGAGTACCTGGGAATTTCTCTCCGGTGCCTTCAGTTTCAGCCCTGCCTGTGTGTTCTCCAGCCCTGACCTAGGTACTCTCTGCCTTTATCCCAGCCGCGTCCATGCCTAAGCACTGCCTCCTCTTGTGGGTTCCTCTTCAAATGGTATCTACTCTTTCTTGCCCAGTTCACGCCTCCTTCTAGGAGCCCTTCAGGATTCCTCCAGGCTCTCTCAGTACATGACCTTTCTGAACTCTTTTAACACACTTATGGTACTCCTCATTTGGAATCTAAATGTTACTTAAGTGGATCTGCTTTGGTGTCATTCCTTTAGTGAAATGAAAGCCCCTGGAGAGTAATCCATGGCCTTTCACCTCTGAATTACCTCCAACCAGTGGAGCTTAGCGCAGAACGGAAGCTCCATGAATCCAAACCTGAGTGGAATGACAGGCTCCCTGGCAGGGGTAGAAGCACCTGTTTCGTGCCCTGCACTTCTCCGTACTTCAGGCCAGATTTGGTAGCCACACCCAAGACAGGGTGTGTCTTTTTGTTCCTTCCAGGTAAGGAGCACCGAGGCCTGAGCCCAGCCGATTCTATCCACAGGTGTCATGCTGTGGGCGGGCCCTGGATGATGGGAATGGAAAAGGTGCCCTGACTCAGCCCAGTTGCCACTGGTCTCTGGGTCAAGTGGCCACAGCCTTCTCCAGGAAAAACAATACCAGATGAGTAATAAGCACCGCTCCTCTCCTCGATTCTCTGACTTCGGGTTTCTCTGTGTCTCAAGTTTTAAAATACGTGCAATAGCTGTCATACCTAACTCACACTTGCTATCAGGCAAAAGAGATAATGATTTTGAAAGCACTTGAAGTTATCATGCACAATAAAAATGTCATGGACACAGCACATGAATCTGCAGGGAGAATAAATAGACCGGGAAGCCAGATGGGTTGCAGTGGGAGGTAAGAGGAGGTGGGGACCCTACTTCCAATCCACCTTTGCTTGCCATGTGACCTTGGCTATATCCAGTTAGCTCCTCTGGAACTCAGTGACCTTGCCTGTAAAACTTGCCTGTGCACTGGATGATCTGGTCTATGGCCAAGTCCAGTGTGAATTTGAGAATCTTACAGGAGGATAATCAAGCAAGTAATTCCCACGGCATGCTTCACTGGGCATGCTGAAAGGGGGTAGGGGTACCCTGATGTGTCCAGTGTGGGCAGTGGGTCCCACGAAGCTCTGCCAGCAATGCACACAGTGCCACCAGCCACTGCCTGTTCCGTGCACAGACGCAGGGCGGCTGGTCATGTCCCCTGCTCTCTGCAGAAGGTCCCCAGCTCCTTGATACTACAGTCAAGGGGTTTTAGCTTTTCGATTTTTTTCCCCTGCCCCTTCCTGAACAAAAACAACAAGTTTCAAACTCACAGCTGTTAGTGTTGAAGTCTGGCTATGAAATGAGCAATCCCATCAGCTTCCCCGACACGCACTGCTTACAGGAGAGAAGGCAAAGGGAAAGGCGGCTGGGGATGAAGGGGCCTCGGGTGCAGGCACCTGTGAGATGCCACGGGATGCCACTGAGCTCTCTGGGAATGCCACGAAGGTTTGCCTGCTTCCCAAAGTGGAAGCCACAAATCTCCCAGGGTTGTACTTGTTGGCGCTTCCCTGTGAGCCCCGTAACCATGGTTTCAGGCAGACTACATCACAGCCATGAGCAGAAAAAGAACAGGCTTTTTCCTATTTCCCCCTGAAACTCCATGTCCTTGCAAAAAGGAGGGAAGGTGATACCCCAAGGTGAGTCAGGTGCAACCTCTGACCCCTGGGGCACTCACAGAGTGCTTTTTCAATAGAAAGTGATTCCTCTCCATCTCCATCTCTGAACCTCTCTCTGTGTGTAGACCAAAGCACCCTGAAACCATTCACATCCACAGCAACAGCTGCTCTTAGCAGACCCACGTAACCAACCTGAAAATGCAGAATTCCATCTCCTAACGCAACACCTTCTCTCCAAGAACAGCTCAAAACCAAGCTTGCTTCTCTCGGCTTGTCTGAGGGCCAAGGTATGCATTTGGTTTACAGTACATTGACAAGGCCTATTTCCAAGTCCCTAATATTTTGACAATGTAATCAATTAACTCAGACTTGGCAAACAGTATTTCACTGCACAGCAACTCAAGGCAACGATGTAACTTTAAGACGCAAAGCATTGACTTGCAAAGACCTACAAGCAGAACCATGTCTAAAACACAATTCATTCTAGGTGGATGGGCAATGCACTGGGCAAAACCAGCTGGGCTCATGTGTCTGGGACCCTCAAGGGGACATCCTGAGAACACGTTTTTCTCCTTGTCTGGCCGAAGATGAGCTGACCACCATGCAGGAGCAGAAAAACAAGCAGGCGTTCTCCCAGAGGGAAAAATAAACCAAGTGCTCACTGGAAGGCTACCGCAGGACAAAGCCAGGACCAGCAAGAAGCCTTCAGTCTCAGGCTCCACGTGCTTCTCCAAGGACGGAGGGACCCACCCACGCACAATCACACACTGGCCAGTCCACCACGCGCTGGGTCCTCGGCCAGCCTTCAGCACCAGCGCACTGGGGCTCTCCCAGTTGGCAAGCTCTGGCCAGCCCCCGCCATCTGGAGGGCAACACGGCGAGCAGAGGGCTGAAGCCTCTTCCGAAGTCTCATCTTCCTCTCTGTCTCCCTCTCTCTCCCTCTCTCTCTCTCCTCCCCAGCAATCACGGGGATCCCACACCGGGTTCCCGGGCGGGGAGGCCCGGGACTCACCCAGTCCTCGAAGTGGCGGCTCCCGTTCTGCAGCAGCTCCTCGAACTGGATGGTGCAGTTGGCCACGAAGTCGTCGTAGCCGATGGGGGCATCGTGAAAGACGGCCAGCTCGATCTTGCGCCCATTGCACACATCAGTGACGAATTCGTCGTGCCAGGCCGGGCTGTTGGTCTTCTGTTTGGTGGCTGTCTGGCCGATGCGCGAGTCGTCCACGTTGAGGGCGATGTAGGGGTCGAGCAGGAAAGTCTGCGGCCGGGGTCCCACCGCATGGCGCAGCGACCAGGCTGTGGGCTTCAAGCTCACGGCCTCGCAGATTTTGATCTTCAGCAGGCCATTGAACACTACCATGGTCGGGGCGGGGATGACAGGGGTGAAGAACGGACGGCGGGGACCTCGGGGGCCCCTGTCGCCCCACCCCGCACACTCCTTACACCTTGTGGCGCTGCGCCCCGGCGCGGGCGAGTCTCAGCGAGGACATGTATTTCCTCGCCGGGTTCCTAACGGAAAGCGGCGACGACGGGGAGAGCCGGGAACGTCCGTGCCGGAGTCTCTCCCGCCAGCCACCGGCGGCACCTCCAGCAGAGGAGACGAGCCGGCTGTCTGCGGGCCGCCGGGCCGGCTTCGGGGGCCCGGGCCTGCCCGGGGGGGGGCGCCCGCCCCCGGGGGGTTCACCTTAACTTTTCCCAAAAAAAAAATTCCGGGGAAAATTTTTCGAACTCCCGGAAGGGGGAAAGGGGGGGCCCCGGCCCGGGGCGGGAAACCCCAGACCCGGGGGGCCAAAATTTTTAAACCCCGAAATCCTTCTTTGGGGCCCCCAAAAGCGCCTGCCCTTTTAACCGGGGGGGGCGGGGGTGGACCCAGGGATGTTCAGTCTATCCGGAGGGATGCATGTCGAGAGGAAATGGTCCTCCTCCGAGCCAAATTAAAAAAAAAAAAAAGAAGAAGAAGAAGGGGGAAAAAATCCACAAGCCGTATGGCCAGCCCGGCCACCGCCTCCCGGGCCAAGCAGCGCCGCGCCGCAGCCGGCTATCAGCAGGCGCCAGGAGCCCGGAATCTCACATCCGCGCGGGCGCGGGAGCCGGGGCGGCTGCGCTGGGGCTCGGGGCGCAGGCCGGCTCAGCTCCGGGCGGTGCGCGGCGCGGCGGCGGGGCCGGACTGCGACTCGGCGCGGCCCCACCTCCCGGGCGCCGGCGCCCGCGCGCCCGCAGCCCGCGTCCCCGCTCTGGGCCGCCACTCGCTCGCCGCCCGCCAGTCCGCTCCGCCCCGCGGTCTCTGCTCTCCCTCGGTCGGTGTGCGAGCGCCGCTGCCTCCTCTAATGCAGGAAATGCGCAAAAGACGTCAGTGTGTGTGCGCGCGTGTCTGTGTGTGTGTGTGTGTGTGTGTGTGTGTGTGTGTGTGTGTACGCGCGCGCGCGCGCGCACCAGTGCTTGGGGAAATAGAAAGTTTTGCCGGTTGGGGGAGCAATTCGGGAAAGTGCGCGGAGCACAGAAAAGGCAGCGAGTGTGACCACGCAGCCCCCGCCGCGGAGGCGGCGGCGGGTGGGGAGCGGGGCGGGGACCCCGCGTCGGGTTTGGGGGAAGCGGCCTGAGCGGGGCGCGGTGCCGCGCGCGCTCTGGATCGGCCCTGTGGCCCCGGCCGGGACGGGAGCGGCCGCTCACTCCTCGGAGCCCCTGCGGCCAGCTTGTCTCTTGGAGCCTAGGTTGGGGAGTAGCGGTGGCCCCGTGGCCCCGAAAGACCCGGGCCCGCCCCCAGCCCCAGCCCCAGCCCCAGCCCCCGCTCGGGCAGCGGCCGGCAGGAGCGGCCTGCGGAGCGGCCTGGCTGCCCCTGCGTCCCGGGACTCTGCGGCGGCCGAGGGGCGGAAGCCGAGCCCGGCTTGCGGTGCGTTTGCAACACGGTCGTTGTGGTCCCTTTCTCGGGGGACGCCTCCCGCTTCGGGACCTACCCAGGACTGCACAAGCTGCGGGAACTCTTGGACAAGTGAAAGCTTGGCAGCGTCCCGGGCCCGTCTGTATTGTCTGTTTACTTTTGCCAAAGTGACTCTTCCGCTGTACGCCGGCCGCGTCTGCGCTCCCGCGGGGGCCGGGGTCGGCCGCGCGGGCTGCGGGAAGCGGGGCGCGCCCTAGGGGGCAGCTCCCTAACCTTTCAACCCTGGCCGGGAGCCGCGGCGGCCACTGGTCACGTGGGCCGGGCTCTGGGCTGCGGGGGAGGGACGTCCTCCGCGGGAGTCGGCGCGGGGAGGGTGGCCTGGCGGGGACTGCCCGTGCCGGGGACCGGGAACCTGGGAGGGCGGAGCCGGGAGCGCGGAGGCCGGGGCGCGGCCCAGCTGGGACTTGGGGCTCAAGGGGTAGCCGCCACCTGGGGCCGGGGCGTTCTGCGAGCGTGGAAAGGAAACCACCGCCCTCGCCTGGGTGTCCGGTGGGGTCCGGTTTCGTGGGGATCACGGCGAGCCGAGTGTCTGGGTAGTGCAGAGCAAAATTCAAAACCTGCCTCCCAGTCCCTTTTTTCCTGGGTAGCAACAAAGTTATCATTTGCCTGTCGCCGTAGAGGCTTTCAAAGGCTTGGAGGTGAGGAAGGAGGCAGTGTGTGAAACAATGGAAGCACAAGGACAGGTGGCACACGGGTCCCCAAACCATCAGAAAAGTCCCAAGGCCTTCGTGGCAGGCGTCGCCTTTTGGTAGCAGATGCCTGCAGCCGCTTACTGGAAGTTTCCTGGAGCCCCGCCGGCTGATCGGGCAGCTAGGGACTCCCATGCAACCTTAGGCACTACAGAGACCATTCCCATGAAAAACCTCAGGCTCCCAGAGTTGCGCCTGCTGTGGCCACTCCCACCAGCTGGCCGTGCCTGTCAGTTCTTTGCTGTTTAATTTTTATCTCTTTTGCTCATTGCAGTGTTTTCCTCCTCTGCTTCTGGGTTCCACCAATCTGTTCTTGCGCTTTTTCTCCCGGGTGGCAAGTGGGGCTTCGTCTTCTGCAAATGCACTCAAAGGCAGGGCCAGCCTGGGAGGGAGGTGACCCAGAGATTCTTGAGAGACAAACGGTAAAGGCACCAAGAAGCTCAGCACTTCGATGCGACGCATATAAAAAATAAAAGTTAATATAAGAAGCCAGGGTGAACACACTGTGCACATTTTAAATAATTTTAAGTATTGTACTAAAATATTTTTAAGCTGCTGAGCTCATGGCACCCCTTGCATCTCCGTATAGGAGCTGGGTGCTCCATTTGTGAAGCGTGTTGGAGGTCTAGAAAGTCCAGAAGTTTGTGAAGTTAGGGCTCCTGGTCTACTTAGTGTGGCATACCTTCCCTCCGCTGGCTCTGAGTGCGGCCTGTCTTGCATGCAAATCGAAGTAGGTTGGATTGAAAAACATTGACCCGAATCCCTCCTTTTTAGTGTACTAAGCAGGACATATGTTTAGAATTAAGGACACACTGAACTTGAACTTTTTGCATGTGATATTTCCACCCCTTCCCTCCCCAAAGCAAGACTGCCAAATACATGAAGTAGAGGTCATTGCCTGTTGGCGACTGTCTCAAACATAACCTTCCAGCTTCCAACACTGTCTCCCTGCAGCCTGGGTCAGGGTCCAGGAAGGCAGCACCTGCCTCTGTGCTGTCTGCAGGTGAGCAAGGCCCGGCTCCCTCCTATTACAGGTTTCTCCAGATGCAGATGTTAAGAGATGGGGCCAACCAGAACACCCATTTTGTGTTCGATGAATGTTTTTCTTCATAAAAAGGCGAGAGCTCTGGTACTCTTCATGCACACATTGCTGGTTTCCTATCCTTACTGCTTGCTTGCTTTTTTTCTTTCAATATTTTATTTATTTATTTGAGAGGTCGAGTTACAGTGAGAGAGAGAAACAGAGAGAAAGGTCTTCCTTCCTCTGCTTCACTCCCCAAATGGCTGCAATTGCCAGAACTGCACTGACCAAAGCCAGGAGCTTCCTCTGGGTCTCCCATGCGGGTGCAGGGGCCCAAGCACTTGGGCCATCTTTTGCTGCTTTCCCAGGCCACAGCAGAGAGCTGGATCAGAAGAGGAGTGGCCAGGACTAGAACCTGTGCCCATACAGGAAGCTGGCACCACCGGCAGAGGATTAACCTACTGCGCCACAGTCCTGGCCCCAACTGCTTCCTTATTTCTAAACAAATCTGTCACCTTCATACTCTCAAATTCGGCCAGATGAAAACAGATCTTCCCCAAGCACACCGTGAAGATGCCAGATGCCAGATGCCATCTTGTTGGTGGGAAAACCTTTATGCTCACCCAGAATACCCCCTGCTGCACTTCAAGTGCAAATGGAAGCCAGACCAGGGGTGGCTTAGAAGGTAAAACAGCAATCAGTAATTCCTGCCTGCATGCCAGTATTCATGGCCCTGCTACTGGGCTCTGGGCTCACATGGCCCTTTGCAGAATGCCGAGGGCCTGCTGCAGAGGTCTGCCTGGCCTGCACCTGTCAGACATTCCACACATGCTCCGGGAACAGAGTTCAACACCTGGGTCAGGGCGGAATATACTGCAGCCGGGCGACACAGCCCTGCCCCAGCCCAGCCCTAGCTGCTTGCTTACTTTGCCCCAGGCCTGCTGGCTTGTTGCTGGTGACTCAGAGGCCAAGCTGCTGTTACACCTGCATGGAGATAGAGGGGTCAGAGGTGGCCCCATGGAGCTCACAAACATGCAGGAAGGAGATGGCCTGGTGTCCTTTCCTTCCAAGCCCCATACTCCCGGGCCCCTTATGGAAAACACTATCCCATACCTCATCTTCTTGGATTCAGATATTGGGCCGCTTCTTGGGATTTTAAGATGTGTATCAGCCCAGGGATCTTAACTACGTACCTGTATGCACTGACACTACAGCAGGTGCTCTCGGGACAACAAACAGCAATTGGACGGTTCCTACTATAGTTCACATTTTTAGTGTTATGCCATTTGGAGCAGCGGGAAAACAAAAATGCTGGCACACAATGACCCTTGAGTAGTTGAGATGGCCTGGATGGTCCTGCTGTAGCCAGTACATCCCAAATCCTGCGGTATTAAAATCGCAAAGGTCTCGCTCACACACGCTGTTAGTCTGTGCAGGTCGGCTGGGAGCTGGGTGCCTCGTCTGTTCCATGCTGATTCCTGCCTGCAGGCCAACTGCCAAGCCACGTGCCGGAGCATGGCTGGTCCTAGGCAAGGAGCGAAAGCGCAGCTGGAGGGGCTCAGCCAGGCGATTCCATGGCCACCTGGAAGCTGAGCATCACTCGTGCTGGCCTGCGACCCCTCCTCCAACCACAGTGGGCTGGGAAGGGCCAGTGCTAATTGGGGAATGACACTGGAGACGGCCGTCCATGCTGCTGTCCAGTAACTGGTGCAGGGAGGTGATTCGGGGTAGCACACGCTAAGTGACCGATAAAGAGTGGGACTGTTCAACCTCCGCCACTGGCCCTGGGCCACTGCACACAGAAGATGGGCAGACTAGGAGGAGAGTCCTGCATACTCTCACGGCTCCTGGCTACCAGAGCTCCCACACCCTGCCGCAGGCCCAGCCTCATGGGACCCTCAGGGCCTT